TAATTTTCTTTTTTGGTGGGGTCTTTGCCTGGTTTTGGTATTAGAGTGATGCTGGCTTCATAGAATGAGTTTGGAAGTATTCCCCCCTCTTCTATTTCTTGGGAAAATTTAAGGAGAATGGGTATTATGTCTTCTCTAAATGTCTGACAAAATTCTCTGGTGACTTCATGTGGCCCCAGGGGTTTTGTTCTTGGGTAGTTTTTTGATTACCGATTCAATTTCTTTGCTGGTAATTGGTCTGTTTAGATTTTCTGTTTCTTTCTTGGTCAGTCTTGGAAGGCTGTATTTTACTAGACAGTTGTCCATTTCTTCTAGGTTATCCAGCTTGTTAGCATGTAGATTTTCATAGTATTCTCTAATAATTCTTTGTATTTCTGTGGGACCTGTTGTGATTTTTCCTTCCTCATTTCTGATTCTGTTGATATGTGTAGATTCTCTTTTTTCTCTTAATAAGTCTCGCCATGGATTTATCTATTTTGTTTATTTTTTCAATGAACCACCTTTTCTTTTTTGTTTTTTTTTTTTCTTTTTTTTTATTCTCTATTTCTTGTCTGATCTTTATTATGTCCCTCCTTATGCTGACTTGGGACCTCATTTGTTCTTTTTTTTCCAGTTTCAATAATTGTTACTTTAGACTATTCATTTGGGATTGTTCTTCCTTTAAATAGGCTTGGATTGCTTAATACTTTCCTCTTAGAACTGCTTTCGCTGCGTCCCACAGTAGTTGGGGCTTTATACTGTTGTTATTTGTCTCCGTATATTGTTCAATCTCTGTTTTAATTTGGTCATTGATCCATTCATTATTTAGGAGCATGTTGTTAAGCCTCTATGTGTTTGTGAGCCTGTTTTTTTTCTTTGTACAATCTATTTCTACTTTTATACCTTTGTTATCTTAGAAGTTGATTGGTAGAATTTCAGTCTTTTTTAGTTTACTGAGGCTCTTTTTGTGGCCTAGTATGTGGTGCATTCTGGAAAATGTTCTGTGTTTACTTGAGAAGAATGTGTATCCTGTTGCTTTTGGGTGTAGAGTTCTATAGATGTCTATTAGGTCCATCTGTTCTGGCGTGTTGTTCAGTGCCTCTGTGTCCTTACTTATTTTCTGTCTGGTGGATTTGTCCTTTGGAGTGAGTGGTGTGTTGAAGTCTCCTAGAATAAATGCATTGCATTCTATTTCCTCCTTTAATTCTGTTAGTATTTGTTTCACATATGTTGGTGTTCCTGTGTTGGGTGCATATATATTTGTAATGGTTATATCCTCTTACTGGACTGCCCCCTTTATCATTATGTAATGTCCTTCTTTATCTCTTGTTACTTTCTTTGTTTTGAAGTCTATTTTGTCTGATAGAAGTACTGCAGCTCCTGCTTTTTTCTCCCTATTGTTAGCATGAAATGTCTTTTTCCACCCCTTCTCTTTTCGTCTGTGTATGTCTTTGGGTTTATGGTGAGTCTCTTGTAAGCAGCATATAGATCGGTCTTGCATTTTTATCCATTCTGTTACTCTGTGTCTTTTGATTGGTGCATTGAGTCCATTTATGTTTCGGGTGATTATCAGTAGATATGTACTTATGGCCATTGCAGGCTTTGGATTTGTATTTACCCAAGGTTCAAGGGCAGCTTCTTTACTATCTAACTGTCTAACTTTAACTCACTTATTAAGCTATTATAAACACAGTCTGATGATTCTTTATTTCTCTCTTTTCTTCTTCCTACTCAATTCTTTATATAATTGGTGTTTTATTCTGTACTCTTTTGTATTTCCCTTGACTGCTTTTGTGGATAGCTGATTTTATTTTTTGCCTTTAGTTAGTATTTGGTTTGTCTGCTTTCTTTGCTGTGGTTTTATTTTCTCTGGTTACATTTATTTAGCCTTAGGAATGCTTCCATCTAGAGCAGTCCCTCTAAAATACCCTGTAGAGGTGGTTTGTGGGAGGCAAATTCCCTCAACTTCTGCTTTTCTGGGAATTGTTTAATCCCTCCTTGAAATTTAAATGATGATCTTGCTGGATACAGTGTCCTTGGTTCAAGGCCCTTCTGTTTCATTGCATTAAATATATCATGCCATTCTCTTCTGGCCTCTAAGGTTTCTGTGGAGAAGTCTAATGATAGCCTGATGGGTTTTCCTTTATAGGTGATCTTTTTTTCTCTCAGGCTGCCATTAATATCCTGTCCTAGTCTTTGATCTTTGTCATTTTTTACTATATGTATTGGTGCTGTCCTCCTTGGTTCCCTTGTGTTGGGAGATCTGTGGATTTCCATGGTCTGAGAGACTGTTTCCTTCCCCAGCTTGGGGATGTTTTGAGTCATTATTTCTACAAAGACACTTCCTATCCCTTTTTCTCTCTCCTTCTTCTGGTACCCCTATAATGCAAATATTGTTCCATTTGGATTGGTCATACAGTTCTCTTAATGTTCTTTCATTCCTAGAGATCCTGTTATCTGTCTGTCTCAGCTTCTCTGTATTCCTGTTCTCTGATTTCTATTCCATTAACAGTCTCCTGCACCTTATCTAGTCTTCTCTTAAGTCCTTCTATTGATTGTTTGATTTCTGTCATTTCCCTCCAGACTTCATCTCTTTGGTCTTGCATATTTCTCTGCAGCTCTGTCAGCATGGTTAAGACTTTTATTTTGAATTCTTTTTCAGGAAGATTGGTTATATCTATCTCACCTGGCATTGTTTGAGTGATTTTGGACTGGACCAGATTCTTCTGCTGTTTCATGGTGATAGAAGTGATCACTGGGAAGTGGCCCCTGTGTCAGCTGGGAGAACAAAGTCTCTGCCTGCTTGCTGATCGCTTGCCCTTCTCCACTGCCTGTGCTGGTTACCCGTAGATAGGAGCAGTCTCTGGGTTAATCCCCCATGCTGCTGTGTGTGGGGCAGCTCTGGCGATAGCCTAGGGTCCTGCGCAGGGTCGCAGATGCACTGGCTGTATTCTCCTGCGAGAACAGCACCCCTTCGTGCCTTCCTGACCTTGTGCCAGCTTCCTCTGCGTGTGCCGGGCAGATGTATATACGCGGCAGCCTCTGGGTCTGGCCCAGTTAGCTACGTGCTGGGAGAAGACTCTGTGTGGTTGCTGTGTGCAGGTCCGCTTTCTGGCTGCTCTGCAACAGTGGCGGGTCAGCCAGTTTACTCGAGTGCCGGTCAGGTGGAATGAGCGGCAGGCTGCTTATCACTGTGAGGACTTGGGAGCTATGCTGCTGCCCAGGGGCTTAGGGCGCCTCAAGTTCCTTAAGATTCCAGCCTGCTGGGCTGAGTGTGCTGGGACGATTTTGTCCACCTGTTAAACCGTTCTCCCTTTAAGGGTCTTTCTGTTAAATCCTTCTCCCTTTAAGGGTCTTAAAGCTCCCGCTTTTCTTTTGTGCCAGGGGAGCCGGCTGTGGGGTCCTGCTCACAGTCTCCATCTCAGACTTTTACTTTAGCTGATATCCAGCACACCATGCAATGTGTCTGTGCTCCTGCTGCAGATTACTGGGGCTGGTTGTTTAGGCGTCGTGGGCTTCCACTCCCTCCCCACTTTGTTTTCCTCCCACCAGTGAGCTGGGTCGGGGGATGCTTGGCTCCCACTTGGTCACAGCTTTGTATCTTACCCTTTTCATGAGATGCTGAGTTCTCACAGATGTAGATGTAGCCTGGCTGTTGCACTGTATCTTCTGGTCTCTGTTTTAGGAATAGTTGTATTTGCTGTATTTTCAAAATATATATGTTTTGGGAGGAGATTTCCACCGCCCTACACTCACTGCCATCTTGAGGGGCCCCCCTCCACCCCAGTCCTTTCTTCTTAAGGTTCCTAGAGTGCCGGTGGTGCTGCTCCGGCACCTGGTTTCCTGTTTTCCACATGTTAGTCAGCAGAAGGAGGTTATTCTGTGAGGCCTGCAGCTTCTCCATGTCCACCGAGGGCCTGCAGGAGCTCATTGGAATGCTGCTTGACTGTCTGGCCGGTGCTCAGAACTTGGGTGTTTATAATGTCATAGTCTTGTTTTTCCTGTGGAGTCCTGCAGCTGAGGTGGAGTCCTGCTGCCCTGCCTTCCCCGCCTGCCCGCAGCTTTTATCTTTATGCAGTACAGACAGGGAGGCCCTCAGAATGGCTAGGAGTGCCACTCATATGATGGTCTATCAGCTGTGGGTTTTTTTCCTTCAGGGTTGAGAGTGGAGGGTGACCCGGGGGGGTTGAGCTTTTGAAGTTGAGAGTTCTCTGAGGTGGCCAAGGTTGGGCACAGGGTGGGGGTCATAAAGGGTGAACAAGAATGCTGAAATGGCCGCCTGGAGATGAAGACTCACTGACAGCGCGGGTGGCTGTGCATGTGGCTGGTGCGGGGAGGCCTCTGGGCCTGACCAGCTGTAGGTCTTGCCGACTGTGACTTCCCCACAGAGCAGCTCTTCCCCGATGCGGGAGTCATAGCCCGGGTGTTTCCCCGGCATTAAGACACCAGACACCACGAGGGGAGCAGTGAGCATGGAGACTCTTGGTGACCGTGAGGCTTGGGTCTGAGTCGGTTTTGGAGAACAGGAGAGTTAGGAAATGCCTTTGGGGCCCTTAAGCTGCCGGAACTTGTGTTTGTTGAATGGATAGGTGCCGTGGCATCCCCTCCAGCCAGTGCGGGCACGTGGTCACTGTTGTTTGTCAAGCTCTGTGCTGATAACGCCCCTCTCGGGGATTCATATCTGACCTTACGATGCAGGCACCATTAGTGTGTCCATTCTGCCAGTGAAGAGACGGGAGCTGGAAAGGAAGAGGCGACTTGCGGAAGGGCACACAGCTGGAAGGCAGCAGAGCAAGGATTTTAGCCCGAGATGTCTGGCTGCAGGGGCCACACTCCGACCTGCCTCTGCCTGGCACCTTGGCCTGGCGTGTTCCTTGGCACCCCCAGGCGCGCATGGCTTGCGGTCCGTGTATTGCCAGGACAGGTCGGGCGGGCCACCGCCGTTCCTCCATCAGGGCGCCGCAATCAGAGTTTGTATTGTGTTCCCGCTCTTCGATTCTTTTTTTTTCTCCTCTCCTCAGGCTGCTTCTGTTCTCGATGTCAGATACGCATCTGCGTCATGAGAGACCCTGGCAGCTCTGAGCACTCGGTGTGGGCGACCGTGTCACCCGGGATATCAGGTATCACAAGGCCTCCCCTAGCCATCTGCATCCCGTCTCTGTGGACAAGCAGCTGCTACCAAAAAAGGCATATACACTGCAGTCCTGTGCTCCATCTGCCTTAAGTCTCCGCTCATTCTCCACGTTGGCGCCGCCTCCCAGAGAGTCTGGCGCAGCGCTCACCCTGCCTAGTGCTGGGGGCTCTCGTGGCCTGCTCGCCCCCCTGACTCCGGGGCCCACCTCCCAGTTGGAGTTCCTGAGCCCCACCGATGGCAGCTCTCCACGTCAGCAGCTTCAGAACAGGTAGCCGACTCAGAGGGCACGACTCTGTTCCTGCATGGCCTGCCGTTTCTACTTTGTGCATAATGTAATTTTCAGAGTGACTGTGACCCTGTTGGCCTTCTAGGAAGTTTCTCTTGTTCTTTTCTGAGGCACCCACCTAAGTGATATCATGCTCCTTTGGAAATCACGATATATTGGCAGACTGCATTATAACCTTTATCGTGCCAAACATCCTGATACAACTCACATTTCCCTAAACATAGGGCATAATTATGGTTTATAAAGTCACTTGGCTTAAACCTCCCTCCTCCTCTTCCAAGTGGTAGGAAGTTCAGACACAGCAGCTATCCTGAGACACTGTAGCTTAATGGGAACGTGGCCCTCAACACTTGCCTTCAGCTTTCGGTGTTGTGGCCCCAGGATGGGTGCCACCTTAGCTTTTCCTGGCGGCCCGCAGCCCCCACTCCGGCCATCACCAACCAACTCCAAGAGGTCTGGTCTGTGCCACTGTACTGGTGCTTGTACATTTGGAATTGGTGCCTTCTCCTTTTGGCAACCATGTTATCAATCCTCTTTCTGTTCTAGTGTCTTATTTCTTCTGCAAAGTTTATTGCTTGCCAAAGATGACATCGCTCAGATGAGGAGCTGGGAGAACTGGCTGCGGGTTTTGACAGGGCAGGTTCTGACTGTCGGGTCAGCTGATGAATGGTGTTAGGACAGCCGGCGATGGTTCTGTAAGAGCTTCATGTGGCCAGTTCCCGCCCTGTTGCTGTGTGGCCTTTTACATGTCCTTCCACTCATCCTGTGTGTCCCATGTGTGCTGAGGCGATCACACCGCACCCCCTCCCCCCAGTGCTACAGGGCTGGATGGGGGTCGGTGCTGGTTCTGTGAGACCAGGCTGAAAGGGAACAGTCTGCAGGGCATTAGGGGAAGCCGTGGTTGGACTGCAAACAAGTTAACGTTTCGAATAAATGTCCTGAGACTTCCAGAATCGCTTTTATTCACTTGCCCGACCACGGACCTGCTGAGGAGCTGAGGGCAGATGGACTGTCAGACTGCACTCTGATGGAACCTGTTCGCTGTGCCATGGTCAGTCCAGCCTACACTAGACATGTGGAGGGAGCTTTGGGGTTGTTTTTTGCATCATTTAAATATTTTTCCTGCTTTCGATACCAAAAAGAAAAAAATACCCATGCTTTAAGGCAAAACAGAATTCGTGAGAATTTAAAATATGCAATTAGAATTTAATGTGTTTGGCTCCCCGGGACCTTGCTTTTTTTTTTTTTTCTTTTTAAGTCAGCTCATTTTCTCTTTAGGAAGAGGTTCAGCTAGAAACCTAGATTCTTTGGAATTGTGCTGCTTTTTTTAGTATCTGGAGAAAGGACCTTCAAATGGGGAGTGAACAGGGACTTCCCTGACTTTCACCGTTCCGTCCCCACCCTAGGTGTGTGTGGGTCAAGTAAGAGCATGTGAAGAGCATCAGAGGGTCAGAGGTCACAGCTCACTGTTCCTGCCTGGACAGGGATAACAAAATAACACTAGTAACCATGTAGGGTTTGTTTTTGTTTTAATCATAAGCCTGCCATGCGAAAATGGCAGGAAAAACATGAGGAGGAGGTGGCATGAGTTTTGCACATCACTTAAAGGGGACGCTAGACAGAAACTGAAGCTTTAGGGTCTCCTTGCTCTTTCTCAAGACCACCTTCCTCTTCACAGAGGCAGTAGGCAGTTTGCAGCAGGAGGTTCTCGCTGTGTCTGTCTGCAGGTCTGCCCCTCTCTTTGCGCCCAGGCTGGTTCCTCAAGAAGGGATCCCTTCTGGCCGCTGGGAAGCGTGCTGCTCTTTGTGCAAAGCATGGCAGGCACCTGGCAGCACCAGGCCTGTGAGTGCTGTGCTGTCCCCTCACTCAGCCAGTCCTGGAGAAGCGCCTTGCTGGCACACTTGGATTCGGCTTTCTCTGCAGGCGAAGGGGTGCGTGGTTGTCATTTCCCAGAAGGAAAGGATAGGTGTCTGCCTGCAGGCCTTTGCTGTGGTTCCATGTGTAAGATAGCACTGTTTTAAACTGCTTCATTACACTGTCTTTTCGATGATGTTGTAAATGCAAGAAATCATGGAGCTTTAAAAGCTGAGTGGTTTGGTCTTATTTATGTGAAGACCCTTTTTAACATATCAAGACTGTGGTGTATCAGCAGGTCTGCTTGGATGTGAGGGTCCACAGTGACAACCGCTTCGGATGCAATGTTCACGTAAGCTTTGTCTTCTTAAAAATTATCAATGTGAATGTTATGATTATATATATATTTTTTGGAAAATTTCACCTGAGATAAGTTATTGTGCAAAATATAGTACCATTGAAGCAAATGATAGTTTAACTTTTAGTTTAGAAATCCTAAAAGATATAAATTGTACTGCAGATGCATTAAAAGTCTCTTCTATTTAATTTTATGTAGGTGTGTAAAGTGTTAGGTAAAATTTTTGTCACTTATCCATTTAAACACCTTGTTACTTGAATATTGTGTTGACTGGTCTGAAACAGTGATCGATTCTGTAATATAGCTCTTCTATCCAGGAAGTAACGTGCCTGAGTTGTGCCGATTCGGTTCATACTGGTACACAATCAGGTGCTGGTGTCAGGAGCCAGAGATTAGTGTAACACACCCACTGCATTGGCTCGGTATATCTGTGCCACCAAGACACCACTTCCTCAAAATGGTTTTTGATAGTTTTTAACCTATAAGACACTTTGATAGCATAGACCTCTAATCAAAAAATGAAGATGAAAAAGTGGTTGACTTGTAAAAGCTTACTGTGGTGGACTAATTAAGCAGTTGTTTTCTGTGTATATGAAGTTTCCTCAAATACCACACACCACTATTTAAGTGTGCTCATTGTCACTTTAAATTTCAGCTCTGCCCTATTTTTGTCTTTCTAAATATCAGATGTACTATTGGTATAATCGCATACCAAAAATAAGCCGAACAGTGCATTACACTAACTGGACCCCTGCTTGTGTGAGCAAAGGAGAGCCTCATTTCTCTCGTCTGGCCTGTTTCTGAATCTAGTGACCCAGATTGAAGCTTTTACTAGCAAGTGAAACTTCGCCTCAAGTTGACTCGAGGTATTTAGCTCATCTGCATCCTGGTGATCTTGTGCAATGCTCAGACACAGATCCTCTTTTGGCCACTCCCCCGATCGCTGCAGCTCTTCTTAATTAGAGTGAAGCACAATTGCAGCAGCGTTATGTATAGGCTATGCATGCTGTGTGAGACGGGTGTTTACAGCCACCTTCTCCCGAAACGGCTTCATACGGAGCAGATCGTATCCCATCAGGTAGACCCATCCACTTTGCTAAGTGCTTTTTAGATTGCTTCAAGTTTTTCAAGATTTTAAAAGATGTATAAGGTTAAGTTTGCAAATATAATGGAAATGCTGTATATCTTTTGAAGTGATAAAATCCATGTTGAAATTTTAAAGAAAATAATGTTGTAATAATGCTGTTGTAAGTAATATTTTAATGTCTCTTCTGCCTGTTTTCTACTTCAGCACATTCATTTGGTGAATGTTCATAGCATTATAATTGCTCAGCCACTGACTGAGAACATTTGTTAGCGGACATTGGAAATTTTATTTGTGAAATTCTGCAGAATTCATTTTTCTATTTCCAATATTTGCTCAAGTTAAATAAAAATTGTCAAGCCATTGATGTAATAAAATATGAAACACAAGACAGTTTTCTGTGCCCCCACCAGAGCAGTAGCACACCCTAATACAAAGTGGGTGCTCCCCTGCCTTTTGTGTTGGACCTCAAGATCCTGAATGGATCGGTTCCCCAGAGCCCTGCCCTGGGGAAGTACAGCCCCGGATGCCTTTTGATTTTAGCCTTTAGCTCTGCCTGAACTGCTTTCTTATGTATGATCATTTGGTTGGGGTCAGATTGAGGTGCGTAAGTTTGGGAAGTTTGCCGTCGCTGAGGGTTTAAATGTAAAGGTCCACTGGGGCGAATTCTTTTTCCCAGTAGTGGTTTTTCTCTTTTCAGCATATCCAGTCTTTGGCACCTGAATGCTGGCCTCTGACAGCCCCGGACGGGGCAGTGAGGAGGCAAGCCCACTGCCTTTGTTGCTGCGGTCAGCCCCCCAGGGTAGCCTGGAGGGCGCTCCCAGCATCCACTGGCCCTCTGTGGCCCTTCCTTGACAGCCGGTTAGATAACTGCTGTGAAAGCCTGACTGCAGATCCAGCATTGCCTCGGACCACATGTAAGACAGGCTGATGACATCCCTCCATGTATCTGACTTCACACTGTGTACAAGTGGGGTTCACATAACGCTTCTCAGAACTCCTGTCCGGGACAGAAGACAGGACGGTGCTGTGGTCGCTGTTCTCAGCGCTGCAGGGCCTGCAGGGAGGAAGAGGTACAGTCTCCTTGGATGGGACACGTGGGCAGCACCTAGGAGAGGAGGGCCGAGCTGAGAGCCTGGTGTGCGGCTTGCAGAGGCGACTCATGCAGAACAGGAAGGAGCCCGAGCCGAGGCCCGACCCCCGGGCTCCCCTGCCAGTCAGTGGAGGAGGAAGGGAAGCCAGAGAGCATGCCGGGGGGCCACGGAGACGAGGGGCGTCCCGGCTAGGGGGTGCCCACTGTCGGCGCTGCTTGCCTGTCTGGGCGTGGCCTTTGTTGGCTCAGAGGAATAAGGAGAGAGAAGGAACAGAGGTATTAAGGAAGAGGCTGTCTGACTGCCGCGCGCACATTGGCCTGGCTCCCGTCAGGAGTGCGGGAGCTATGTCGGGGCCCCACGTCAAGGGCGCGGGCGGAGCGCAGGTCTAGGCTTCTTCCTGCCAGCCGGAAGGAAGGAACACCTGTGGACAGGTGTTTACAGGTCACCTGTTGTGCCCCATCTCCATCCTCTGGGCCCTTGCTACAGCCCTGGCTTCAGGCAGGTATCCCTGGCGGCATCTCATGTGGGCAGCAGGGGGCGTTCAGGCTCCAGGGCGGCCCTGGGCACCACAGGGGCTGGGCATCCTCTCTGTGGAGGCAGCTCTGCAGGGCTTCTCACAGCCCACATGGTACCCAACTAAAAAATGCACCCCGTCTCACTTTTCCTCACCCTGCCCTGTGCTGGGATCACATTCAAAATCACACTGTTTACCCACAGACCCTCACTGTAGGCTGTGCTTTCGGGGGAAATCCAGGCCAGGACCCCACAGGTGAGAACTTCTCTCCCCACCAGGCCTGCCATAGCCCTGGTACCTTCTGTTGAGGGGACAGGTCTTGGGGGCACTTACCGACCTAGACTAGCAGAAGGCTGCGGCACTGCCACGAGACTATCCAGCGAACGTGTGAGCTGAGAGGAGGCGCCCCCTGCTCCCAGGTGCCGCTCCTGCCTCTGCGGCCGCTGCCGCTGTACCTCTGGGCGCTGCGTGCCATGCTGGGTGCTGCCTCTCAGACGGAAGAGATGGGGCGCTCTGCCTGGGGGATCCCTTTCCTTCTCAGCAGATCGAGACCATGCTTGTTCCTAGCGGCAGCTGCTTCGTGCTTGGAGCCTAGACAAGGGCACAGGCCGCCCCAGCTCACTCTCTGGTCCTGGGCTGGATGGAACTGACCCCCAGGGCAGCCACCTGGGTCCTCATTCCCACTCACCCAAGAAGCTTGAGCCCAGTCATGGGCCTGGAAGTGCCCTGGTCTCTTCCCACCAGCTGTCCTCCCTGGCCCGGGGCTGTCAGCGCCTTTGCCCAGTGCTGGAGCTCAGCTCCATGTGCTCCCCCCTCCCCTTCAGCCCTCCCCTCAGATATACACATTTCCAGTCACCAAAAGGGAGACCCTGGCATCACCTGGCTGTGCCCCGGCCTCCTCCCCTCTCCCTCACCCACTCCCTGCACCCACCACCCACCATCTGGCCCTTCCTGCTGAAAGTGCAGCTTCTACCATCTGTGAAAACACAGCCTTCCTTCTGACTTAAGCCAAGTAGGGCCTGCTTCAGGGATGCTGTGCGACCATGCCTCCCTCCATGCCCTGTCCCTGGGGCAGTCACGCTCCCTCTCTCTGAGGTCCTGCGCAGCGTACACCCCCACCATCAGCAGAGGCTGCTCTTGGGGCTCCTTCCACTTATACCCTTGCACCACACTACAGAGCAAGGGTGTCACGTGTTCATTCATTCCCCTAAATGGGCACCAGTGAACACTCTTGGTACTGAAGACACAGGCTGAAACATAGCCCCTGTTGGCTTCCTGTGGCCCACAGGCAGCCGGTGTTGCCCGTTCCCTCCTGTCCTTCCAGGGAGAAGGATCCCATGTGTGCATGCTCACTTGCACATGTACAAAGAATCGTTTTTCCATATAATTCACATACTCTGTACCTGGCTGCGTGCCTGGCTTTTTTCACTCCACTTCTGCATCACCACGTATGTGTGAGCTGCCCCTTTCGTAGGTCCTGGCTCCGTGCTAGCACTCCAGTTATGACCGACAGCTTGTTCCAACCGCTGTCAACTGACGGTCACTGAATTGTTACTTATAATATCAGCAGACTGTAAATTTTGCCTGCAAGCATGTGTAGTTCTAGAATAAATACCAGGGATTGGAATTTCTGGGTCAGGAAATGGTTTAGTTTACTGGTGGTACATGCCCCTATTATCTTCCCACAGGGTTGTAGAGGTTCTCCTTCCATCTGCCATGAACGAGGCAACTTGTCTTGGTAATAAACACTTGGGTCTGAGGTTTCATCGATCACGGGCCCTGGCAGTAAGGACTCCCACTCAGCTCAGCCCGAGACTGGCCGCAGTAGGCCCATGGGTGCTGGTGAAAAAAATATGGGGCCGTCAGGGGCTCTGAGCAGCAGGAGTTCAGGCCTGCGGCCCCTGTGCTTCTGCCAGTTGTGAGGGTAAGGGCTGGGGTCAATGCCAGCTCCCAGGCTGTCAGAGACGGGTGAGTGGGGACTTGGGGTTTCCTGGACTTCTGGCTTGTTTCTTGAGCTGTTTGGGTATCAATTGCCGAAGTCCTGGGGGGAATGAATTCCAATTAGAGATCTGGAGATTGTACGCTTGGAGCGGGGTTGAAGAGTACTGTGTGGATTCTGGTTTTCAGGTCTCTGCCTCTGTACTTCACCGCCCCCTCCCCCTTATCGGAGAGATGGCCGATGAATAACGTGAGCAAATGTTCTGTGTCCTGGCCTGGACAGGCTGAGCAGGCATCTTCCTGCTGAAACACCAGCTGGGGAGAGCTTTTCAGATAAGTGAGAAGGGATCATCCTGCATGGGGTCTGCTTGTGGAGGGCTTCCCAGAGGAGGTGACAGGCAGCCCAGGCGTTGAGCAGGCCCTGTGGTTTACATGCCCCCTCGCAGTCAAGTTGGAGCTCTGTTTCCTCCCCCTCCAGTGGAGGATGTTGGAGTTTCATATGGCTCTGTGGTGATCCGCACACTGGGTAGAAGCCTAGTGAATGTTGGTTGCTGCTCAAAAGGCTTAGATTAGAGAAGCCACATTCTGCAGGCACTGCAGACAGTTAGCGAGAGGGACTTTGCAGGCCTGCAGTGCTGCTGGTTCCCAAGGCTTCTGGTGCTGGGCTGCCAGCAGAGGGTCCGGCTACAGATCAGAGGGCGGGAGGGCAGGCTGGACATGCCCCCGTGAGTGTGCAGCTGGCCTCGGTCTGGGTGGTCACAGGGGCCCCTCACCTCTCACCCACATTCATGCTGAGCGGCTTTGCTGAAGGGGCCTCTAGTCCTGCAAAGCTCCTTGTGTCACAATGTTCATTTGCATTTGGTGGATTGTGGTACTTGATTAAAAAGTAGGTTGAGTAATAATTAAGCCTTTTATTATGAATAATCATGTATAGCAAATTATTTGTGTTTTTTAGTCATAATTGCTCAGTTTTTGACAATTGCCTTGTCCCCTAGGGACCAAACATGCATTATGTGACCTAGGGCTCGTAGCAACCTTATATGTAGGGACTGTCATCTCAGTTTTATAGAAGAAGAACCAAGACTTAGAGAAGAACACACTGCCTGAGCTGGACTACTGGAACATGCTGGTCGGGCCTGGGAACACGTGTGGCCCGCTTCTCCACGGAGCCACCCGTGGAGACCTCGACGCTGCCGCAGTCCGCGCGGTTCAGTGGCGGCGTCAGTGACTGGCCACTCCCTTCACCCCAGGCCTGTTTCCTCTTCAGAAGCCAGGAGGAAGACTTCTTCAAAGGGGAAGCTTAGCCAAGGTTGTCAGTGGAGGCGCTTCCCCCAGCCCAGTGGCCTTGTGCTGAAGAGTCGCTTGATGGCTGGGGGCCCCTTCACTCGGCTGCGGCAGGCGTGGGAGTGTGCGCGCTGCTGGCATCTCCCTGGGGGCAGCTCCCGCCGCTTCACCGGAGCCCTCCTCCTGTCTGTAAACACTGCCTCCAGGCTCACCCGTGCACTGTGGTCTTCGGCGGGTTTGACGGCGTGCTCTGCCTGTATCGGATTTGTGGACCGCGCGCTGTCAGTGCGTGTGTACTCATTCCTAACACACAGGTAAGTCACATGCTGGTAACTGGTGTGTTCACACTGGAAAGCTAACAGCAGTTGTCCTCCACCCCATGTTCTGGGGGACTGTAACCGGCACTGACAGTCCCTTGCCATGCTTGTCCTGAGCCCTTAGATTGCTCTGTGCTGAGAACTAGGTGAGCCCCTGCTTCCCGGGGAGGGAACAGAGGCCAGAGTTGAAGGGGCCTGTGTATGGTCAGTCAGCTAGTAGGTGGGCCGGG